CCAGGACGAGAGATTATTTAATTCACTGTAATGTGTTAATTAAGGAATAATGAATAAAAACTTGCCCAAGAGCCCCATTCTGCCGGCTCTCAATAAGCGTCCAAAATCTTCATCACGAACATAATCAGATTGTATAGCCTGTATTTTTTAGAGTGTAGTGAAATTGAATAAGTTTTTTATAACTTGGATACTTGTGTAGTTTACGTCCCATAAGCCCCGCCCCCTTTTCAATCTGCCTGTTCTAAAGTGATATTTGGGTCATATTTTCATTTAATTGACTTATGGCCTTTTTCCTCTTCTTATAAGAAAGGGAAGAGAAAAAAGGGCGGGGCTTATGGGACGTAAACACAGGTACCTAATATGTCAATTTTTGTACATATTAGGTACTGCCATTTTTGTACCGCTCAGAAACGAGACTTGAAGTTTGAAGTTAAGAATTTAAAACTTGAAGGTAGGCATAATTTGCACATTTTCTTTAATGGAACAATGGTCATTTTATTTTTAAAACCCCCTCTAGTTTCCATTGTAATGCTCAAGAGTAGGAAATGAGTATCCCTTCATATTAGGAAATTCGGTAGTGATATATTTTATTATAAATTTTTCTTATTTACTTTAGGGTTAAATTGTTTATCGCTATCCGACGATTCAACCTCAGTAGTTTCCTGGATCGCTGGTAATTTTCCTCTAGCTAAAAATATTTGCAAGTTAGCCTTAAATGATTATATTAATGTTCTCAATACCAAGAGCTGAAGCATTGGGATCAAGCGCCCCTATAGATGGATGAGGTTGTGGCATCATTCCAGATTGATTTTGTCTACGACGATGACGTTGTTGACGTCGAGCTTGAGGAGGCCCCGAAATACGAATTCCAGTTTGTGGACCAGCACTTTGCTGGATAGATGTTGTTGGTTGTTGTTGTTGATAAGGCTGTTGTCCTTGAGGTTGTTGATAAGGATGTTGTTGTTGATAAGGTTGTTGTTGTTGATAAGGTTGTTGTTGTTGGTAAGGTTGTTGAAAAGGCTGCTGATAAAATTGTTGTTGTTGATAAGGAATTCGATGTACATTTCCACTTAATTTTAAAAGTTTTTCAAAAATGGTCAACGAATCGAAATTTTTATTTTGTTTATGTATGTAATTGAAATTATTAAACATTTAAAAACATACTAAGTATTTAACAAATCTAGGAAGTTAATTAAAAACGATCATTTATAGGGGAGCTCAAGCGATCATATTTTTCGCAAACTTTCAAGCCCCATAACTTTTTAGTTTCATTTTCTAGCCAAAAAAGCTGAAAATTTTCTAGAGTAAATCGACGATGCTCTATTAATTGATACCAAAAAAGTACAAAATTTAGACTGACAGTTCGTGAGGTTCCCTTGTTAGTGGTAGAGTACCTGCATAGGTGTGAGTAAGGCCATGCGAGCACTATCATAATTGTAGAAAGTTCCTGAATCGCTTGACTCCAGCCCGGTGGCTAGCCTTATAGGTAAACTTTAAACAACTCCAAAACTCACGCTGTATCAACATGGTATTCATTAAGACGCGGAAAAAGATATTGTCTTAGTAGACTTGTTAATTGTGCTCTAATAAGATATTCATCACTGCTTATAGCATTTGTATTACATAGTTGCCAATCATTAGCTTCAAGGAATTGCAGATGATTCAGTGCATGTATTGAGTCCATAGATAGTGGGGGGCCTTTCGAAATCAGAATTAATTTTGATTATTAAGTCAAATATTGGTACTATATCGCCTATATCGCCCACTACTATATCGCCCAAATTTTATTTTTGCTGTAAATAGTAAGGGTGCAAAATGGTAAATAATGTTAACATGTATAGTCAGATTTTTAGAACCTTTGGTTTCTAATTCAGAACTTGATACTTTTATGGACCAAAGTTGGGTTTATTGCTTAAAATCCCTGAATATTAGGATTATCTTCAAATATCAGGCCTTGTCCGGCATTGAATTCTAGTGAAGGGTAGGCGATGAGAGATATGTATCTTCATTAAGATCTCTTTACTTTTCTCTTTATCTCACTTCTTTACCTCATCAAGAGTAAAGAAAATAAAAATGTGGGCCGATAACTCGATAGTACCAAAATATTATTAATTCCTACCAGCAGGGGCAGGTTGACCACCCACAGAAGTTGCCTGGATCGGTTGATGTGTCTGTGGTTCTGGTAAAAGCGTAAAAAGGTAGTACATATATTTAGTCATTGTTTGTATGAGCTCTTGAGGTAATTGTTGTATAATTTGTACCATTTTTTGCTTCAATTCATTTTGTCCTCTTTGATGATCAAAGGGTATAAGAATCGGTTGCTGACATTTGGCCTTTTTACCTTTAGGTAATTTGGGTTGTTTAGTTGCTTTCACTTTTTGTGTTTGACCACGTTGATGACCTCCTCTGCCAAGACGTAGACCAGTATCTGGCTGCATAGGTGAACGATTATGTGGTGGTTGTTGATGATGATCTAGGTATATTTAATGTTTTTTATAAGGTCAGCAGATGAGACATAAGGAGAACTAGTATCTTATCACCATTGAGCGTGTGAGAGAATTTTATGGTTATAGGATAATTTTTCCCTCCGTGTCATGAGATCTCAAGGTTCTGATTGTTGTCTATGGCATCCCTATTTCGAAAAATATTAAAGAATATTGCATATATCATTAATTTTTTGATAAATCTAACTTCTATCCCTAGATCTAACTTCTATTTTGGTCCCTTCAAACTTCGTTGTATTGAGCCTATACCGTATAATAATTTAGGATCTGGTCTAGTTTAGACTTCAAATGAAAGTTTATGAGTCCAATGAAGGTGTGATACCACATCATGTCTTTCTAGCCGAAATCTGATACCGGTACTTTTTCCGAACCGAAATCTTCCGAGATTCTATTCACATTAAATTTCCAAATGTCTGAGAGTTCTGATTCTATCAGGTTTTACTTCATCGTCCTAATTAGAGTATTATTCGATGCCAATGATTAACGTGGATCCTACTTATAAAATACAATTTTTTGACCTAAAAATGAGGCTAAACTTCATTGGACTATAACCTTAACCATGACAAAAATTAATTACCCTCAACAAAATCAACTGCATTTTGTTCAACAAAGTATTGGTCCATAAAATGATTCACATTTTCTTCTTCAGAGTCAACATTATTAAAATAATTTTGTATAACTTTATTTCTATTTTCAATTAAATTACACTCAAATTTCTTTGTTCGACCGTTGAAAACAATTTGATAAAAATTTAATTTTGGACTTGAATGAATTGTTGGTTGACAATTCAACTCTACCTTAATTTTAAATAAATTCGTTATGTGTTAAAAGGGATCGAATGATTCCAAGTCCTATTATTTGTTCCAAGGGATTATTTATAATTGAGCATGACACTTCAAATATTGTGATATCCTTATGAACAACGTTAGCAGCAAAATTAGGTTATTGAAAGCAATGCAAAAAGTTGCCGGAAAACTTGACTGTAATATTCTCTATGGAGACACGACAGGGGACACCGACCTCCAAAGGACATGGTGTGTCCGTTCACTCCGATTAAAGTTAAAATTAAAGTTAAAAGTAAAGATTTGGCATTCTGTTTTGGCGTTTTTATCTTAAGCTAAAAACTTTTAGTTTGGTTTAGGGTGCCGTGTAATTTGGGCAGTGGTGAATTGGGCAGGAGTAATTTGGGTAGTGAGTGATTTGGGCAGTAAACGTTTTTTAAAAAATAATTTTACACGCAAAAACAATTTGAGTAACGTTAGACTTATAATTTTTAAATTATTTAAAATTGATAAGAAAAATTCCGGAAATTTTTATTAAACTTAAAGTAAATCCAAAATTTGAACATATTTTTCCATAACTATTTTGACCTTTTTCAGATATTTTTGACCTATTTTGAAAAATAAAAACTTAAAATATATACTTATTTAACACTTCTTCGCATCTTAAATTTACTTATCAATTAGGGAAACGTCAAAATTGAGACCAAGACGATTTCAACAAAGGGTAATGTTGTACCTACAACGTTATCAAAATGAAAAAGGGGTGCGGTTCTTTGTAATTTTGTGTAAATAATTTAAAAATTCTAAGTTACTGCCCAAATCACTCAAAATTATTCTTCTAACGTTACTCAAATTGTTTTTGCGTGTAAAATTATTTTTTAAAAAACGTTTACTGCCCAAATCACTCACTGCCCAAATTACTCACTGCCCAATTCACCACTGCCGTTTTCACCAGACACGTGGTTTAGTATGATGGAGATCAATCCTCAAGTCTGAAGGAAATATATATATATATATATGACTTTCTCCAGATCTGGATATTCAGATTCACCAATCCTACTTATAAGATATTGTTGTATATTGATCTTAAATAAGTTATATCGTTCAGGTATCTCCTCCAACCAGTGGGTAAACAACGTATTGTGGCGTATCTGATCTCAATGTTATTATACCTGAATGCCATCTTCATTTATAACAAACAAATATTCATCATTTGGGCAAACTTTACTTCTGACATATTCTGATTGATATACTTTCTTTTGTCCATCTACATTTGAAATTTTGTTTAAAATCACAACAAAATTTGATTCAAGACCCCCTTTACACAGAATCACCACATTTTTCTTTTTCTTCGAAACCTTTGGATCTTTCCAATGAAATTGCATAACACGAACAGGACGTTTAAACAATTCTATCATTGAGTCGAATCTATTTGGGTCTTGTTGTTTTGTTAATTTTATAAATTTTGGTTCGCTATCTTTTCGAACAAAGACATAAATTATTGAATTGTTTTCAATCCCGTTTATAGAGCCGAGGTTTGTCTAAAAAATAAAAATAAAGTAACTTCAATAAAATCCACTCCTTCCTTGATTAATCCCTCTCAACCTTAATGAAGCCCTCTCCCACTCTCCACATTCAGGACCCCCTCCCTTCCATCAATAGAGCCTCTCACTCTCCACTTTTAATGCTCCTCTCCTCTCTAGATTTAAAGTCTTTCTCTCTCCACCTTCACTGACAACCCATCCATTTTAACATCGAATAACACCCCCTTCCCTCTCTCCCCAACCCTCCCTCCTTCCCTCTCTCCCCAACCCTTCCCCCTTCCCCCTCTTTCCAAATCACTCCCCCCCCCTTCCCTATCTCCCCAGCTTTCTCCCTCCCCTCCCCTTCCCTCTCTCCCCAACTCCCCCCCTTCCCTCTCTCCCCAAATCACTTCCCTCCCCCCCTCCCTCTCTCCCCCCTTCCCTCTCTCCCCAACCCTCCCTCCTTCCCTCTCTCCCCAACCCTTCCCTCTTCCTTCTCTCCTCAAATCACTGCCCCTTTAACATTAAAGGCCCCCTCTATCTCCACGTTAATGACATTCCCTCTCTCCACCGACGCAATCTCTCTCTTTCTCCCCCTTTAATAGTACAACCTTAAAGATCAAACATTAAAACATTAAAGACCACCCTCCACTCCATCATTAAAGACCCCAGTTCCTGAAACCCGAATTCTTATTTCCATCCTCTTCAATTCAAATTTTAGCTTAGTTTCAATCACCCAATAAAGATTAAGATAATTAATAATAACCCACACTAGGCCCATTGATTGAGATATGAAGTTCATAGTTGCCATTCAACTCTTCACCTTCATTTTCAGCTTGTATGAAGTGATGAGTGTCATATGTATCTGTCACAGCATCCATTGTAAACCCCGAAGTGTTGCTAGTCAATTGTAAATTGAATCGTCCTGTCTCTCTATCGGACAGATGGGGATAATGATTCCCAACATTTTCAACTTGATCTCGCCAAGAAATCTTTACGAATACCGACAAAGGTGTTACATTTTTGTAAAAGGAGGTAATAAATGTGAATATTAAGAATAACCACATTCTGTTAAATTTAGAAATTAAATGGCTAGGATCTCGAGATGTTTCTTATGTGAGTAAGTCGGAGAAAACCTTCAAAATTTCCCTTATCATTTAAAATTTAAAGTGAATTTTTAATTTAAAATAAAATATTATGTATTTTGGTAGAAATGATTATTGAGCGACTTGGTAAAAATGAAGATTGGCAGGAGGGATGGGAAGGCATTAAGAGGCGTTTAAATAAACGTCGCTCTGCGTCTTGCGACAGAAAATAACATTAAAATTTAGAGAGCGAGATTCCCTCTCTTTTCACCCTATTTACTGTCGCAGCAGGCGCGCGATTCTAGGTCAACGTCGCATTATTGCTAGTGACAAGTAATGCCTAGAGAAAAAAATATTTTAGAGAAAAATTTAAAAAAATTTTGCAGAATTTTTTGCAATTTTTGCAGAATTCCTATAAATATTATTAGAAGAAACTCTCCTCCAAAGCTTCACCTCCTAAGAGTTGAGGATAAAATGAGGATAAGGAGATCCCCGTTAGTGTTAGGCACGGTTCAATACTCTCGCAGTACTCTCGAAAGTATTGACTGGGTACTTTTCGGCACTATTGGTATTGGTACGGTATTGATAAGATTTTGGAATTTTCGGTACTCGCTCAATACCAATACTTTTCGGTACTATTGGTATTGGATTGAAAAAATCCATTTGCCGAACACTAATCCCCGTTGTTACTAGCAGAGGTGGGTCGGAATTCCGATTTTCGATTTCCGATGTTTTTTTCCCTCCGATTTTCGAAAAAATTTTTGATTTCGATTTCCGAGTTACGACTTTTGAGCCAGTTTCCATTTCTGGTTACTAGGAGACCCATTTATTGTTACTAGGACACATCCGCAACCGTCCGATTTATGAAAAAACACTATCCATATTCGTCCGTATCTTGATATATCCGCGGGTATCCGGATATTATCCGTATCCATTACCATGTTTGCCGAATATTATAGGTCGAACTTCAAACTCCTACTAGCATTTAAAAAAACTTTTTAAAAATTTATTTAAAGGAAAAATATTATAAATTTAAGAAATCATCGAACGACTTAATAAGAATGATAAATGCGCAGAGAGGAAGGCCAAGAGAAATGACAGCATTGCTAATAGAAAGGCATTAAGGAGTGTCGCTCGCTTTGCGTCTTGCGACCAGAGTTGCTCGAATTTTCGATTTTCTCTGTTTTTTCCTTTCGATTTATTATTTTTTGCCGCCAAAAGGAAAGATTTTTGGCTTCATGGCCTTCCAAAACTCTCAAAATTTTCGCCTGCGACGCTAAAAGAAAAAAGTATTGGATATATTCGAGGATTTTCAAATGGATTAGAAAGACTAAAGGATCTTTTGCCAGCGGCATAATCTGAGGAAGCCCTGATATAATCGGAGGAAGATATCCTGCATATCCCGGAACTTATATGGTTTGGGTACTCTTTTTTTAGCCACGCCCTTTTTTCCTTTTCCTTCATCAATCAAACCTAATATGGACAGAATGGTCAGCCTTTCTTTCTTCCTCGATTTTACTTAACTTTTCCTGTGGCATTTTCAGTGAGAGACATTAACAAGGAAAAGATTAATTTTCCTTTCCAATTTCACCAAAATAGAATTAACATTTGAATCAATACTCTTATTTTTATCTACTATTTCAATTATTTAAATGGCAATAGGTATCCCGGTTCTACGTTTTGGAACTAATGGTCCGGTATTTTATTGTGTTTTCCAGTTTTTGCGTGTTTAAAATCATATTTTTTTTACAAAATGCCGACCGTTTTACCCCTTTTTAGAAATTTTTGGACCCCTGTAATTCAGCTCAGAGATCTCACGGACCGAGTTTAGTGCCATACGTCTCAGCCCAGCTCGATGAGTCATCCGAGTCAGCTCTATTTCTCTCTTTATTTTAAACAAAAAATTGGCCTCAACTCAATTGATTGATGGTTGAGAGGGAAAAAGAATAATGATGGAAAAGTAAAAAAGGGCGCGGCTAAAAAAAGAGTACCCAAACCATATAAGTTCCCATATCCCTATATCAACTCTAACCCCCTTTAATCCGAGAGTAGAGTTGACCGATATCGGGATTCTGCCATAAAATCGGGACCTTTTAAAAGCTTGCTATTGACTCCGAGATTTTTGATATATGCATCTGCATTTTAGATGGATCGGCTTTAGAGAGACCATCCCTGATCTAGATATGTATAATGTAACTAAATTGAAGATCGTTGATTGTACATATCTTTATAAGGAACTTATATGGTTTGGGTACTCTTTTTTTAGCCGCGCCCTTTTTTACTTTTCCTTCATCAATCAAACCTAATATGGACAGAATGGTCAGCCTTTCTTTCTTCCTCGATTTTACTTAACTTTTCCTGTGGCATTTTCAGTGAGAGACATTAACAAGGAAAAGATTAATTTTCCTTTCCAATTTCACCAAAATAGAATTAACATTTGAATCAATACTCTTATTTTTATCTACTATTTCAATTATTTAAATGGCAATAGGTATCCCGGTTCTACGTTTTGGAACTAATGGTCCGGTATTTTATTGTGTTTTCCAGTTTTTGCGTGTTTAAAATCATATTTTTTTTACAAAATGCCGACCGTTTTACCCCTTTTTAGAAATTTTTGGACCCCTGTAATTCAGCTCAGAGATCTCACGGACCGAGTTTAGTGCCATACGTCTCAGCCCAGCTCGATGAGTCATCCGAGTCAGCTCTATTTCTCTCTTTATTTTAAACAAAAAATTGGCCTCAACTCAATTGATTGATGGTTGAGAGGGAAAAAGAATAATGATGGAAAAGTAAAAAAGGGCGCGGCTAAAAAAAGAGTACCCAAACCATATAAGTTCCCATATCCCTATATCAACTCTAACCCCCTTTAATCCGAGAGTAGAGTTGACCGATATCGGGATTCTGCCATAAAATCGGGACCTTTTAAAAGCTTGCTATTGACTCCGAGATTTTTGATATATGCATCTGCATTTTAGATGGATCGGCTTTAGAGAGACCATCCCTGATCTAGATATGTATAATGTAACTAAATTGAAGATCGTTGATTGTACATATCTTTATAAGGAACTTATATGGTTTGGGTACTCTTTTTTTAGCCGCGCCCTTTTTTACTTTTCCATCATTATTCTTTTTCCCTCTCAACCATCAATCAATTGAGTTGAGGCCAATTTTTTGTTTAAAATAAAGAGAGAAATAGAGCTGACTCGGATGACTCATCGAGCTGGGCTGAGACGTATGGCACTAAACTCGGTCCGTGAGATCTCTGAGCTGAATTACAGGGGTCCAAAAATTTCTAAAAAGGGGTAAAACGGTCGGCATTTTGTAAAAAAAATATGATTTTAAACACGCAAAAACTGGAAAACACAATAAAATACCGGACCATTAGTTCCAAAACGTAGAACCGGGATACCTATTGCCATTTAAATAATTGAAATAGTAGATAAAAATAAGAGTATTGATTCAAATGTTAATTCTATTTTGGTGAAATTGGAAAGGAAAATTAATCTTTTCCTTGTTAATGTCTCTCACTGAAAATGCCACAGGAAAAGTTAAGTAAAATCGAGGAAGAAAGAAAGGCTGACCATTCTGTCCATATTAGGTTTGATTGATGAAGGAAAAGGAAAAAAGGGCGTGGCTAAAAAAAGAGTACCCAAACCATATAAGTTCCAACGTTTCTATCACATTTAAGGGTTAATCTCCTTTTCGATTTAGCATTACTAAGACACCTAATCCAAAAATAGCTAGAATAAAACTGAAATTTTTGAACTTAGAAATAACGCAACCACCAAACGGAATGCCAATCATAAAATAGAGATCGGTAAAATCGCATTCCAGGGATCCCTTAACGGGATTTTTTAACATTTTATATCTCATTTTCTGCGAAAACCCCGGGATTCCGGGACGGGATCCCTAAAATCCAGCACGGGACCCCGATCTCTATTAATTAGCGATCTTAATTAGTGTTTGAGTATAACAAAACATATTAACTAATAGATTTAAATTTCTCATCCGATCCCTATTTTTAACAAACTGAATAATAAAATTGTTTATAGCAAGAGCTAAAATGTGGAAAAGCAATTCATTTAAGTCCGAAATTGAATTTTTATCAAATTGAATTTAACGATCAAACAGAGAGATTTGATTGTAAATTAATTCGAAATACACATGAAGTTGATCCAAAATATGCGATTGACTTTGCACAGGCAAATGTTGATTCTTATATGAAACAATATTTTGTTCAACTGAATGCAATGAGTGTCGTTGAGGGTAATTAAATTTTATACGGTGATATAACGAACATGAAGAGACCAAAAAAGGTCTATATTCTGTACATACATTTCTGTATTTTATTTTCCAAATCTCCTTGAGGGGTTAAATCAACTTTGCGGGGTATGATTTACTCAGCCCTTTTTAAAAACATGAAATTTAGATCCCCAACAACGCGGAGGAAGTTCTCAAGGTGGTCAAAAACGAAAAGGGAAAGTAACTAAATTAACTAAACGTAAAATGGCGCAACCTCAACAGCCCATTCTTATACCAGATGTTTATCAAATCGGGCAAAACGAGTTGGGTCAAAGTATTATACAATTTATGCATCTATTACCTCGAGAGTTACCACAAGCTCAACATTCCCATCAATTTTTCACTCAAAGTCCCACTGGAATTCTTATTATGAATGGTCCTCAGACTCATCATTCTCTTCAAGATGTTCCTAGTCATCCATCTATTGGGACAATTCAAGGTGTTAAAAACAGATAATTAAGATGAGGATTTATAGGCACGAATAACCATCTAACTGACCTTAAATGACCACTGTCTTTTTAAGGTAAAACCATCACTCATTCAAGAAGATACGCAGAATTTGTCAAGTAATTAGAGAAAATTGGCGGGAAACTTTGGGAGCAAATGCCGACAATTTTGTCTAATTACTTCATAAAGTCTGCTTGAATGAGTGATGAGTTGAACTCAAAAAGGCAGTGGTC